GTGGAGTAACTGAACCAAAGGGAAACAAAGAGTAGACAAGTAAGAACTCAGGGTAAAGGTAATTCCCAAAACGTACAGTGTTGAGTCTGGGCACTTGCCATAAGCAAGCCTCCAAAATTTTAAAGTACCAACACATGATGGAAGGAAGCACATTCTATTACATAATTCAAAATGCTCACATTATAAAACAAACTCGTTGCTCAAGAGACATGCACAGTTATTTGTGGTAATGAATTTCTGCAGGCTCTTGTTAAGAGAACATGATGAGCAGCAGGCATTCTCACCTGCACCTCCATGGTAAAAACAGTTGTGGGATTCCTCAGGCTGCATCTCTGTGGTCCCTAGACTCCAGCTGTTCATATGGCCGGAAACTGCAGTTCAGTAAAAGTAATCACCGGAGGAGCCAAAACCAGATTTTCCAAAGACAGATTTATCATCACTTTTCTTTTAAAGACAAAATTAAGATCACCCAAAAAGAGTGAATGGTCTTCAGGAAATCCTCCATTAACACTACCTCTGCCAACTGAGCATTTCTGATCATCTCTGCAAAGCAGACAGACGCATTGGCAATTTAGGGCATATTCACTTCCATTAGTACGCAGCAGAACTGGGGAGAGGACTAACATTGTTTTTCAAAAGTGTAAGGAAAGAGAGGAGAACTGAGGAAATATTTGTGGACTAAGCCAAGATTTTCCTCAGAAAACAACTATGGATCTATTCTAATACAGATAAAAGGGCAAATGCCAAGATTCTGCCATTGAACACAACTGTGATGGTTTAGCCTACAAAGTCTATGAAGTGGCTGCTAGCAAACACCGACCTCTGCAGTCAGTGTTCCCCATTTTTTTATTGTGGTAAAATAGACATATAAAATGTATCATCTTAACCATTTTGAGTGTAAATTTGTTGGTATTAAATATATTCATAATGTTGCACAACCATCACCAACATCCATCTTCGTAACTCTTTTCATTTCCAAAAAAATTTTTTTTACTCTTTTCATCTTATAACACTAAAACTCTGTACCCATTAAACAAGACCTCCCCTTTCCCCCTCTCCCAGCCGCTGGTAACCACCATTCTACCTTCTGTGAGTTTGACCTAATGCAGTCATTGTATTTTCTTCTTTTTTTTAAGATTTTATTTATTTATTTGACAGAGAGAGACACAGCGAGAGAGGGAACACAAGCAGGGGGAGTGAGAGAGGGAGAAGCAGGCTTCCCGCTGAGCAGGGAGCCCAATGCAGGGCTCGATCCCGGGACCCTGGGATCATGACCTGAGCTGAAGTCAGATGCTTAACGACTGAGCCACCCAGGCATCCCTAATGCAATCATTTTAATCAGAAAGAAAAACACTCATAAAATATCTAACATCAAGCAGTGAAACTTCCTCATGATGTCCAGAAGTTAAAACTAATACCTCTAGATGTCTAAATAATTTGATCTATTATGTGGCACAAGTAACCAAAAGTCGGTTAGGTCCGGAGACTGTCAATTAACAGCAGCTTTGGTGTTGCTGCAGCTGATCTGAGGCCATCACTCTTTCTGTCGGTAAGTCAAGCACAGGCACTTGTCTGAGTGCCTCCCCTCTTATGACAAGTAAAACTAAGTCCAAAAGGTACACAAGTTCATTTTTCTATTTTTTTTTTACAAGAGAAGTGACAGAACGCTGCATCTAGTTCACACAAAAGTAGTATTGAGTCATTAAAGGGCAACTTACAATTAAGGAAGAAAGAGGGCACCCGGCTGGCTCAGTCAGTTAAGCAGCTGACTCTTGATTTTGACTCAGGTCATGATCTCAGGGTCCTGGGATCCAGCCCCATGTTCAGCGGGAAGTGTGCTTGAGATTCTCTTGATAGTCCAAGATGTTCTAATCAAGAAAAATATCTTCCTTTGTTTTGTCCCTGTTATATCTATTACACCAAACCAGGAGATGTATTTTTTGCCCTGGGATTAAACATACCTCACAAGTGTAACAAGCACAGAATTATATTAACAGGTTGACTCAAGGAAAATAACTCTATTTACCATTAATTCAATGACTGTTTGATGCTGGTAAACTTACTCTCTTGGAAGGCTGTCACCTCACTTGGAATGGCCGAAGTTTCAGATTTCCTTGTCTGTCACCAGAGCACAACTTCCTACAACATGCTTTATTTACTTCTGGCTCTTTGCCAGTCCAGCACTTTTGAACTCAATGCTTCACTCTAGTAATAATTTCGTATCTGACCTTCCTTCTCTCTCCTACCTATCACGTATAGTATCTATGGAATAGCATTGATTTCATCCTATCATTTCCTTGTTCAGAAAATTCCAGGAATTGCCCACCTCCTGTAAACTCTTGTGACTAAACAGAAACTCTCCCCATGATATGCCTGTCCTTGCTCACCCAACCCCACCTCTTAGTTACTACCTATTACTCTTATTAGTGCCACCTCAAACACCTTCAGCTTTCTCCACTCTCTAAGTATTTGCTCCTACAGTTATTTAACTGAATGCTCTCTGTAACTTCTCTTTTCAACTAGGTTATAAACTCCATTCAGAGAGAAAGGGTCACCTTAAATTTCCATTTGTGTCTTCTCCTAATTTGAGGCAGTTGTTATGCATACATTTGGTGCTCAATACTTAAGAAATAACTGAAACGAATAAATTGCCACTGACTCCAAACACATTTTCTTTCTTCCTTTTATAGCTGGTGCCTACCTTAAGTCCTGTTATTCTTATGTCAGTGCTTTTTAAATCTTTCCAACTGCAACCAATAGGAAGAAATTCTTTTTATATTGTGACCTGGTATGCATGTGTGTGTGTCTGTACAAAAGTTTCAGAAAACAATACATATTACACTGTGCAATATATTCTGATGTTTTCTGTTCTATTTTTAAAATACCGATTATGACACACTAAATTGATTTCATTACTACTAATGGGTTATAATCTACAGTATAAAAATACTCTATGCTCCTTGGATTAATATGAGGTATATAATATTGCTCTTGATAAGTGCTTTGAGAGCAAAACAGTGCTTTGAGTGTTCTGTTCTTGACAGTCTGAACTGCAGTTAGGATCTTTACAGTTATCTTGAGATCACTTCTTACCACATCCCTCTGTAGCATTTAGAATCAAGTCTTCTTCCCAACTTCTATCTTTTGGAATTTAGGACACAGTTAAATAATAATGCACAAAGTATCATTTAGATTTCTACTTCTTATGTTGTCTTGATAAATATTAGTGGCATATAAGTAAAAATTTCCAGGCCTAACTTTAATCAGACCACTTGCAGATGAAAAGAAGTTACACTAAGTAGGTATGGTGATATTTTTGTTTCTTTACATATCTTAAGAACATGAGCTTTGTTGCTTGACCATCCAGGATCTGAATCCCAGCTTTGCCAAGTTATTTAAGCCGAGCAAGTTATTTAACCTGAGCTTCCATTTCTGTATCCATACATTGGAAATAATAATTTCAACTTGAAAGGGTTGAGGGAGGTTAAATTAGACCATGCAAGTAAAGAGCTTAGTACAGGGTCTGGGACACACAAGTGCTCCATGAATGGTAGTGATATTTTATTACTATAACAATAAGTAAATATATCTCAAACTTCCTTTTAGGGTCATAAAGCAAGGTCAGAACAAAAGTGAGACTACTTTTTTCTCTTAATATCTGGCTAATTTCTGTACCTGGATTATTTATAATATAAAATTCCACTGCTAGTTTTATAGATCATAAATATCCCTAAGGAAAGGCTCTATTTGTGGCACTGGATAATCATTATATAATATGGAATGTTTATTGAAACTAAAAGATTATGTATATATACAATAACTTGCCTGGTCACTTACTCTCATTTCTGTTTTCTCTTAATTAAAAAATTGTTTTGGCCGCCTGGGTGGCTCAGTTGGTTAAGGGACTGCCTTCAGCTCAGGTCATGATCCTGGAGTTCCAGGATCAAGTCCCGCATCGCATCGGGCTTCCTGCTCAGCAGGAAGCCTGCTTCTCCCTCTGACCTCCTCTCATGTGCTCTCTCTCTCAAATAAATAAATAAAATCTTTAAAAAGATTGTTTTAACCACAAACACCTGTATGTTGGTGAAGTGTTAATTCAGCAAAAATACTGCACACGATACATATAGAACACTCATGACCTACGTGGGGCTACTTTTGAACAAGACGGAGATCTAGCACTTCGTTTCAACCTTCCAAGTCAAAGCCTTGTTCTAGTTGCTTTTACACTCATTTCTCCTTACCTTTATTTATACACACCCTTATCTTACCTAGGTCTTGCTACTTCTAGAGTGTTTTTGATTGCAGGAGTTTGACAGTTAACAGTAAACAACTACCTTTCCATACAAAATATTGCCCCCCCCCCCAGCCTGTTCAATTTAGCCAGCAAAACAGAGTATCTCGTCCATTCTCCGGGAAACGGTGGCCCAGACTGGATCAGGCACAGGGGCAGTGGCAACTCTTCTCAAAACTAGAGGCAGTGATCAAGATTCCCCTTGCTCCAGCTCAGTCATTTGCTTAAGAAGAGGGCTGCGTTATGCAATGAGAAAAAGACTTCGAAAATTTAATTGAACCCAAACTGGAGACCTCTGGGAATTAACTTTCAGTCACTACACTCGAGAATGTGCGTGTGCGTGTTGGGGGACCAGGGGACCAAAGAAGGCAGACAGCCACAGACCTGCAACAGGAGGTAGAAAGAGTCGGCAAGAGGCTGCAGACTCCGAAGACAGACGCGATTTAATCCGACCGCTGGATTGGGAGAAGGGGGGGAGGTGTGGAACAGAAGGAAGAAGCCGCGTTGGAGAAGCCGCACCCGGCCAGGCCGGCTGCCGGTCCCGCCCACCCGGCTGACCCCCAGCTCCTGACCGCTGCTTAGCGCGCCGGGTCCCTCGGTCCGCACAGCTCCTTTCGTCACGTCCGGGGGCGGGCCGGGGCGCCGGGGGCGGTCCCGGGTGGGGCTGAGGGGCCGGCCTGGGCGGGGGTGGGGTTGTGGTGGTGCTTCGGGTGACAACGGTCAATAATGAAGGTGGCTGCGGCGCGGCGGCAGGCTCAGCTGCGCCGGGCGGGGGCGGCGCCGGGGCCGCGCCTGTAGGACCTCGGGGCCGGCGCGGCGAAATGGGGACCCGGCGCGGGGAGTGAGGTGGCGGCGGCGGCGAGCGGAACTTCAGCCAGAGGGGCACTCCCGCTCCCCCCTCTGGCTCGTCAGCTTCCACCTGCAGCCCCTCGGCCCCCGCGTCCCGCGGGACCGGGACGGCGCCGGCGGGGGCATGTGGCGCTGGGTCCGGCAGCAGCTGGTAAGTGCCTCCTCTCCTCCGGGACGTCTGCCGCCGCGCGGCCTCTCGGGCCCGGGCGGCGGGGAAGGGCCGGCGGCGCGGAGCCGCGAGGCCGGGGCGCGGGCGCCGGGCTAGGCCGCGGCGGAGGCGGGCGCGGGGCCCGAGCCGGAAAGCCCCGCACAGCTCCCGCACGAATCTCGCCTCCGAGCCCGGGACGCCGAGGCCGGCGGGAGGCGGCTGCTTCCTGCCCGCGCTTCTGGTTTCCTTGGTTCTCGCCGCTCCTGGGCGCCGCGTCCGCAATCGGGAGTCCCGAGCGGGCTCGGCGTCCCCGCTGAGGAAACAGGGCGAGGGAACGGAAAGAGAGTAGGTGCTGGGGAGAGACGAGAGGCTTCTCTTTCCTGCCCCTAACAATTTGGGACACGTTTGAGGGAAGGGGAAGGGGAGAATTTATCTTCAGCTCCTTCTTGTCAGTTTTCAGTTAGGGTGTCACGATTCAGTGTTGCGTTAGTTACCAAGGAGGAGGGTACCTTATCTAATGTGACCACTCGCCTCGGAAGAAATTTTACTCAAGCCCTAGGTGAGGGAAAGAGAAAATATTCGAACACCCCGTCAGCTTTCGGAAAAGAGGTGTACGAAAGTTTTGAAGGACTGTTTTTCCCTCTTACCTTGTCTTCACCCCACCCCAAGTCAAACTTTTGGATTGTGAAACCTTACTTTTTCCCGTTCTCTCAAGGCAGTTTGAACGACAGAGGTTTGGGACCGGTGGTTAACTTCTCAGTTTTACTGAAACATTTGGAGAATGTCATTTTATTCCTGTCATTTTATTCTCCAAATAAAAGGGTGGTTTAAGGCATATAAAAAGCGCCACCTTTCTCAGAATTAATTCAGAGAGAAAAATCTTTCCTGCCTCCTGGCAACTATAGCCCAGAAAATACAGCACTAAGGTGACAGTGACAATGAGGACAGAAATTGTTCCTGGCTGAAGAAGCCTAACCTTAGCTCGTTGATGAGGTCTTTCGCTGGTTACTGCTTAATTTCTAAGTTGCATTAATTAATGTTTCTACAGTTCAGTGTTCTCATTTACTGATTCAAAAGGCAACGCAGCAAAAACGACTTTTGTGGCACGGTAAAGATTTTGTGGGACTGAAACATTTATACCTCTTTTTTCCTGCTCTAGAACAGCATTTTAATGTTAAATCTATTTCAGAGTCAGCCTTCTGTTAATTCATTTTGCAAAGGGCATCGCTCAGAAAAATATAAATAAAACTGGAACTGCCTGCCGTTCAAACAAATGTTGTCTTCCTATTTTTAGCTAATTGTAAATTCAGGTATTCCATATATATGCCTTATTAGGACACTAAGCTAATGATGTCATTATAATACTATATGGTAATACCTTGGCCTTGTTGCAATAAGCCATAGCACAACTTGACTCTGAAAGTTAATTATTACAGGTCTGATCTCATGCTTTTGATTTGCCAGTCTTCATGTATAGAAGGTTTATTTACCTAGTACTGTTTTTGTGTGGTAGGAAGATCATTCAAAAGTGGTTTTCTTAAAGCTTTTCCTAGTAGATTAAGACATCGCTTCTAAGTGTTAGGTATTTCTGTTAACCTGAATAAAATCTCAGTTGTATAACCACTCTCATCTTCAAGACAGGCAATCTGGTAATGTTTTTTAAAATGGCTTCAAATGAACACAACTAAAAGGAAGGGCAGGAAGTTGTATGGTTAATTTACAAGACACCTGCCTTACTGGGTGATTAACAAGTTGAACAAGTTAGTGTGCATAAAAAATGCTATCTCTGACTTTTAGTTGCTCGCCTCACTGGTTTTACTTTTAAGTTATCAGCTCTTCTAAGTATGTAATCAGATCTGTGCTAATGTAGGACTTTGTATCTCTGATTAAGTTTATACAGTCACTTAAATCATACATTACGGATAGTGGATACACAGAGTAATGAGAGTATATTTTGCTATCTCGGACATCTATTTTAGTTACTACACCAGGAATTATTCAGCTCAGTGTAGTTTAGATTATGCTTCCGTTTGCTCAGTGGATTTTGTCACCATATCTTTTAACAATAGGTTCATTTTAAAAATTCAGGTAAGTGGGACAAACTTGGGGAAATTAAATTGCAGGGACAGGTTTTTTTTTTAATTATAAACACTTTATTCATTATATGAATCCTGATTTTCAACAACTTAGGTTGTCTTGCCAAAAAAAAAAGTTTCCTGTCATTTTATTACAAAAGTAATTCCTATGCTCTTAGTACTTCATAATTTAAGAAAATTTTGACTCCTTATTTCCACAAAGTATTTTCAATTCTTGACGCAATGAGAAAACTCAAAAGGTTGATGTTTTCCAACTTGGGGAAATAGAGTGAAAAGAAAAGATTGGCTTGGGGCACCTGGGTGGCTCAGTTGGTTAAGCAGCTGCCTTCAGCTCAGGTCATGATCCCAGGGTCCTGGGATCAAGACGGTATTGGGCTCCGTGCTGGGTGGGAAGCCTGCTTCTCCCTCTCCCACTCCCCCTGCTTGTGTTCCCTCTCTTACTGTCTCTCTGTTAATTAAATAAATAAATTTTAAAAAATCTTAAAAAGAAAAAGATTGGCATATCTTTTTTCTTTTTCTTTTGTTCTTTTTTTGGCTCACAGTGCTAAAGTTTGTTTACACTAAGAAAATTCTAAGCAAAATTTCTTATGTTTTTCTGGTACAATTAGTATTCAGAGTGTACTCATTATTCTGACAGCATATTATGTGTATTAATCCCTTAGAGATGATAGCACCTTGATTATAATAGTGGTAATTCTATTAGCTACTCACTGTATGCTAATATTTGGATTTGTATGGTAGCCATTAACCACATTAAAATTAAAATTCAATTAATTAAATTAAAAATTCATGTGCTTATTAGCTACCATATTGGACAGTTCAGAGTAAAACATTTTCATTATCACAGAAAATTCTGTTGGACAGCACTTCTTTAGACTTTTTTTTTTTTTTTTTTTTTAAGGTAGGCTCCATGGTAGGTATGGGCATGAACCAACAACCCGGAGATCAAGACCTGAGCTGAGATCAAGAGTTGGATGCTTACCAACTAAGCTACCCAGGCACCTCACTTCTTTAGATTTTAAATGAAAGCCTTTGCTAATGTGTATTTTAGTTGACGTGTAATATTTCTTTACAGGACAGTGTAATGCTGTGCTTTTAAAGCACTTACTGTGTGCAGACATTATAATGCTAAATACTGGAGATACAAATGTAGGCCTTATTCATCGCTGTATGTTCAGTCTCACTGTACTTGACATAGAGTAGACATTGGGTACATGTATGCTGAATAAATGAAAAGGTAAGGAAAGAAAGAATGAATCCATAGTATTGCTTCTGTGTTTAGAGATAAAATGACAAAATTCAAGATTGACTACTCCAGAAGAAAGTTAGAAAAGTACTGTAATTTTACAAAAATACAACTTAATCTTGTCATACCAGGATACTGTTTCTTAAATTGTTCTGTAAAGTAGTGCCTTCAGATTTGTATTGGCAATAGTGAAAGGGCTGGTGAGATTGTCTTCTGATTCGCTGAGAAAGATGGCAAGCTGTTAACCTAAACTCTTTCAACTTTCTGTTCTCTCACACTTACCAAACTTGTTTATATCTGTATTTAATCTTTCCTTTCCACCTGTCACAAAGAAAGGTGTGACTGTCCTCTTTTCCAAACTAACCAGTCCACTTGTGCTTTTAATTTTGTTCTTTCATCCAGCTCTCCACACTCCCTATTAATTATCTATATAGTATGTTTACCCTAGTCTTTTCCTTAAACATGTGAATATGTTCAGGCCTCCCTCTAGTTTACTTTGTCCTATACTTGTAACTCTCAAATTCTTTTCAGTTTTCTAGAAAATAGATCTGTCCTGTATAATTGTGCTGTCCAGTACACTTGAAATGTGGCTAGTTTGAATCAAGACATTCTTAAGTGTAAAATACACACAAGATTTTAAAAACAGTACAAAAAATAATGTAAAATATCTCAATTTTTATGTTGGTTACATGTTCATATTTAGGCTATATTGGGTAAAGTAAAATATTTCAATTAATTTTTCCTGTTTCTTTTTATTTATTTTTCTAATGTGGTTACTAGAAATTTTAAAATTGTATATGTGGCTTGCATTTGTGACACATGTTATATTTCTGTTAGTGCTGCTGGTAACATTAAAAGTGTGTTCCTGTTTCTGTATAGCACACAATATAAGGCTAAGTATCACACTCACTAGACTGTGACTATCTTAGGGCAGGGACATACCTTGTTCATGTTTATATCCCTTGTACTCAAGACAGCAGCTGGCCCATTCATTGTACGTACCCACCCACCAAATGTGGGTTGAATTAATGAATCAGTATCATTTATTTCAGCATCAGTTTAGAAGTACCTGTGTTCTTTGCCTTTCTCTCAAGAGTAGGAAAAGGAGGCGCACAGGCCTATGATAGTATTATTTTGGTGTATCTAATTAAGTTTTAACCTCAGGAATTTAATGTTTAAGAACCCAGATCTTTGAATATTTGCTCCTTTTATCTCCATCTTTAGACACATATTCTTAGATACCCACTTTTTCATTTAATAGGGAGGTTAAGCATTAGAGGAATCCCAAGTATCCCAGCAGCATTGAAGTAGGGACTTTGCTTAGATTCTCCAAAAGAACCTTATGATGCTATTATTGTCATTAAATATCCCTTCAATCCCTGCAGTCTGTTTTCAACATAGCAGCACAGTGATCTTATTAAAAACACAAGTTGGATCATGTAATTCCTGCGCTTAAAACCTTCTAAGGATTTGCTTTCTTGCTCAGAGTAAAGTCTGTGTTTGATCTGTATCTCTCTGTGCACCCTCCCCCCCACCTTGACCCCCCAAACCACTTCTCATCTCCCATCACTCTTACTTCACTTTGCTTTATCCACACTGCTGCCTTGCAGTTCATCAGAAGTGTCAGGCATACCTCAATCTCAGGATCTTTGCCCTGGCTG